TTTTATAAATTTTCGTTGTCGAGTAATCTGAAAACAAATTTTGTGAGCTATTTTCATGACTTTCGAGAAGAGATAGCAATAAACTCACAATCAGTGAGAATTTCAAAATTTCGAGGCGGTTTCACAGATTACGGTAAGTTGCAAAGTTGATTACTGTAATCTATGCAAACGCTATTACAGAAATATTCAGTTTGAATGTTCGAAGCGCAACATAATGAGCCAATAATACTTTCCTGAATCTATAACTTTGTTGTGAAGCAGATGGAAAATTTCCTATCCAGTTTGATTTTGTCTAGCATGTTTTTGTAAATAATATGTGGTTAGATGAACAATAAGAATGTCAAAAAAGCTTAAACTATAGAAACAAGTGTCAAGAATACGATAGATTTTGTCAATTTTACAACCGCGCCGTGGCACAGCCTTGGATAATATTTAAAACAAAGATGTCCGGATTCCGTATTCCGGATTCCGTGGAAAATATTTTTGTCCGGATTCCGTATTCCGGTTTCCGGATAATTTTCGTTTGTCCGGATTCCGGATTCCGGTTTTCCGATAAAATGTTTCATTCCAGAGGCCACATTCATGAACGTTTTCCTTGGAAAAAAAAAACCATTTTCCTTTCAAAAATCAACTGAATTATTTTCCAGAAGGGAAATGGAAGCGTCAAAATGTACAGAACATTATTCAAATGATTTTCCGACTCTCAGGGGCAGAAAATGACTATTGAACTAAATTTTCTCAAAAACTATGGACTGAAAATTTCTCATATCTGGTCACAGTACTTCACATTCCTAGCTCTATCCATTCATGTGATTTGTGACAAAAACATAGTTTTTTTAAAGTTGAAGAGCAACAATTTTTGGGTTTAAAATTAGATAATAATGCACTTGATATACTATTCTATCAACATACAACTTTTTAGAATCCAAAAGTTCGTAAAATTGACTGTAAACATATATCGAAATTTTTATACTTATTTCATAAAAATATAAGGATTTTCCAAAAAGAAAACGAATTTCCTTCAATTTTCACGCCTTTTCAGTTGATTTTCGGAAAGAAAACAATTTTCCAAAAAAAAGCGTTCATGAATACGGCCTCAG